CACACCCACATACCCACCCACACACACAACACACACACGCGCGCACACACTCTCACACACACTCTCTCACACACACACACACACACACATACACACACACACACACACATTCACACTCAATCAATCAATCAATCAATCAATCAATCAATCAATCAATCAATCAATCAATCAATCAATCAATCAAATCCAATCAATCAATCAATCAATCAATCAATCAATCAAACCTTTTTCTTTTTTTTTTCTTTTAAAATTTTGCATCTTTATTTTCTTAAAACACCTCATTTCCCTGCAAAAAACAAAAATCCAATTCAAAAAAAAATACAGGTGTACTCAGGGACCATGAGGCAGACTGTGGCAACAGTCTGGACGGGAAAACCACAGTAGCAGGGAGAAAGAGCTGCACACTTAGAAAATGCATTCAAAAGCATTGAACAAACCCGCAAGACGGGCTCAACTTTCAAAACTTCAAAAACTATTCTCACTTCACCCAGCTCGCTCCCAAAGCCACCATACCAAAGTTCGCAAAAACGACACAGTAGATCCCTCGACCGGTTTCGTTCGTCCACTACGGACTCATCAGGAAGGTGCGCCTCAAACGCTTTGGTCGTAGAAAAGAGGCCCGTGCCTTGCCTCCTATCGGATATATAGTATCTTCGTATACTCGTAACTACGGACTATCCCTTGAAAGTTCCCGTTCGGAAGAGGTCCGAACACCATACGGGACGAGGATCTAGAGTAAGAGCAGGAAACCTCACAACAAAACAAAACAAGATCCTATAGTTTTAAACCAGCTCCGAGAGTACATAGTCGGTAACCAGTCTAGATACTTAAAATTTAGACTAGGTCCCGAAAAGTCGGATCTTACTGTAGGATCGACACAAACCGAAATGTCAGTTCTTACTGTAAAATCGAAAGTAAAATCGAAAATAAAATAAAACAAAACAAAACAAATACTGGTGGGCCTAAAAACTTATAAAGGCACAAGTAAGACCCGCCAACTATCAGAATCCGAAAAACGCAAAATAAATAAAATCAAATAAAATACTAAAAACTCTTCCGCTGAAGTAATGATAAAG